AGATATACATATGATAATCAATTCCAAGTAACTTTTTCTCAACTGTTTATCATGTCTCCCCCTCATGTTAGAAAAACTAACTTGTTTCCTCAACTTTGAAAGTCCATCTTTGTGTGTCATGATGTTAATCAAAATATACAACGCACATCAATAATAATAAGATGGAATTATTTGGTTCCTGACCCCGAACCACTTGTGAGGGGAGAATATAATATATTTTCGTATATGACCTATATCAAACTGATATAGATAACTTTGTTCTCATCAACAACAATTTAGCTATTAAGTGGAGGCACTCAATAAATTATTTTGCTAAACCAGCTGTGATGTAAACCAACTTATCAAGATGAACTTCTTGAATAAAAAATCTGGAAATTATGCTCTAAATCAAATTATTGAGCAAGTTACCTCGCAAACACCATGTTGCGGGTTAATAATAATCGCACATGTAATTATGTGGTATACATGGCAGGTGAATGGACCCATATTCACCTTTGATATTTCCAGAATTCATGGGATTCAATCCCAACTTTAGTTGGTCAATTAATTGATGAGAATAATCAATATAAGAGAATTCGTAAAGAACTTTCTAGTTCTTTAATATTTACCCATGTGAATTCTCTATTATTTTTGCACATCATACTTAAATTGATATGGCTAAACCAGCTATGCCAACTGGATATCAATAAACTCCAAACTTATTATGATATGGGTTTTATATCAATAAAGTTCTACTTTATTATGGTATTCTTTTATTTGTGTAGTACAAACTGAAGAATAAAACGGGTAACTTTTCACATAAATATTATCCCTGAAAGAGAGATCTTGCAACCACACCCGAAGAAGCACGCAGTGGAAGGGAAGGAGCCTAAATCGACCCCCTTTCTTTTTTTCTTTGAAAAAAGCAGTAAGGAGTAAGGATATTAAACTCTCGGATGAGACTAAGCAGCTACCGACCGTTCCGACGCGCCCTTGACCTATTTTGATTAATCAAAAATGGACAGTGTTCAATTGGAACATGAAAACGTGACTAAATTGGTCCTAGTTACTCTTCGGGGCGGAGTGGAAGAAGGGGGGATTCTCGAACGCGGAAATGATCCAATGAATTCGAAAGAATTGAACGAGGAGCCATATGAGGTAAAAATCTCATGTCGGTTCTGTAGAGTGGCAGTAAGGGTGACTTATCTATCAACTTTTCCACTATCACCCCAAAAAAACCAAACTCTGCCTTACGTAAAGTTGTCAGAGTACGATTAACCTCTGGATTTGAAATCACTGCTTATATACTCGATGGGAATGAATGAAAAAATATTAAATCATCCCATGTTGAATCTGGAATTTTGGTTCTTCCCAGAATTTGTACCACTTTATAATGTATATAAAATAAAACCGTGGATTATACCAAGCAAATTACTTCTTTTAAATTTGAATACAAATGAAAATGTTAGATCTGCAGCTCAAATGGTCCCTTATGAAGTCTCTATTGGTCTTATTCTTATTGCGCGCCTTGTGAGCGCGTTTGGATCCGCGAAGGTAATCGCTCGAATGTTCCCCTAACCCAACCGGGGAACGGACCGGAGGGAACCGCAACATGGGGAATGTCCGCGTCTCGTCTCAAGGCTCATTTTGAGTTGTGGGTCATAAGGCGGGCAACTTTATCTGATCAAGGGCCGGGGCACTTTAAAACGAATCAGTCAACCTGGTCTACGAATCTATTCTAATTATTAACGAATTTCGCGAATTTTAGGTGGAATGGGGATTTTAATTCTTTCTACTTCTCGAGGTATAATGACAGACCGAGAGGCTCGACTAGAAGGAATAGGTGGAGAGATTTTGTGTTATATCCATTCGCAACCTGAAGCCAAGCCATTGACGAGCCCCGAAGGACCTTTCAAGCCTCCCCGCTTCGATTCGTTTGCTTTCCCTTTCTCACTCTGAAAGAAAGAAGAAAGCCTTGCTTTGCCTCCTTCTTTCTTCGCTAATTGAAAGCTAGACTCACACGTATGCTTATAAAGATTATGGCTTCCTCACTTGACCTTCTTTCTATCATTTTATTTTGATTTGAAATGGCACAACCTTTCTTTCTCTTCTTTATTTTTGTTTTATCCCTTTGACGAATTTCGGTTATGACCAATGCCCCACTAGCTAAATAGGTGTAAGAAAAAGCTACCTAAAAAAAAACCAAGGTGCACCTTGAATTGAACTCGACGAATTGCGTTTTTTTTTTCTTTCATCTGCTTAAACGATTGCCGTGAATAAACTTATAGGAATAATTGGATTTCACTTAGTTACAAGCAAGAAATAATAATGAATAAATGAAAATTATAGATTTTTTTTGATTTTGTATTTTTCATTTTTATAGGGCTATACGGACTCGAACCGTAGACCTTCTCGGTAAAATAGGTCAAACTTATTATTATTAAAATGATCTGAACTGTTTCAAAGACCCAACATGCAATTTTTTGCGAAGATAAAAAAAAGAATCGACCGTTCAAATATTCCAAATTGAATGGCAAAATGGCAGGAAGCGAGACATATAGATGGGGTATATATCAATCTATATTGAATTGCGGATTCCGAAATGATAAAATTATTTTTGATTGGACAAAAAAAGGTCTCCTATAGAAGATAGTTAAGAAAATCAAAGAGGAGAAAACACGTTTTCGAGATAGGAATCGGTATCTAATGAATTCAATGGTTCCAGTATAAATGAAAGAAAAAGAAAAAGAAATGACATCACAACGAGATCCTAATCTCAAAAAGAAAGGGGATTTACTATGACTTTGCTTTACTATTACTTTATTACTTTATTTTCTTGATTTTAATCTTTTACTTTTAGAATTAGATTTCAAGTTAGTAACTTCTATTTTATCCTTTCTTCGTTTTGAATCGAAAATAGAAGAGTTGAGTAAATCAAAAATCCAAAGGAGGTTCATGGCCAAGGGGAAAGATGTCCGAGTAACGGTGATTTTGGAATGTACTAGTTGTGTCTGAAACAGTGTTGATAAGGTATCAAGAGGGAGTTCGCCTATGCTACGCGCCTGCCTTTGAGATACTTTCCGCTGGTTCCCTTCGTCGGCGTCATTGAACCTTGTTAGCATTTCGAAAAGAATTGGAGGCTCAAAACGAATGGTCAAAGGAGGGGTTAGCCTTGAGCCAGGTCTTGATTTTTTATTCCATTTTGTCAATTTAAGTACTGGAATGAGAGTTACGGATATTCATTCCTAAACTATGTCACCGATTGGTGACCTGATCCTGCTAAGCAAGAACTGCTACCAACACCGACTCTATCTTAACGACCGGTTTGCCCCTGGACATTCCGTTAAGTCTAGTTGACAAGTTTCCTTTTTTCACTCTGTAAATAAAACAAGCCCTTAGTTTTGCTGAATAAATAAGAGAGGGTGGGAGGGCGGTGTTGGCCACTTCACGATATTGTGCCAATTCCAGTTTTGAACTACCGCAAACTTGTTTCATAGTTTTCAACTGAGCGGCAGACCCGACGCGACTGACAGATAAGCCGACGTTAATCGCATGTCTAATTCCGCGATAAAAGAGCTATGTTTCCAAACAGATTTATCCATCAGTAATGGGGATCATATTGGCGCTACAAGTTGTAGTAATAGAAGATATTAAATCTTCCTTTATTTATAGTCTCAATATAACCAACCGCTTTCGCGAATACTTTAGAAACTGAATAAGTTTCTTTGAGACTTACTACAACACAATACCTTATTGGTAATTAATTATGTTTCTCAAAAATAGTATAATTGGCTCTTCCAGAGCTCTCAATTAATTTTGTACTACCACATATTCATCAACTTTTATATGGTCATATATCTCTTTCAAGGAGAAAGTTATACCATTATGGTCATGGTCAAAATTATATGCAAGATATGTTTCTTGCATTATTGTTATCCTTTAATAATCACATTGCCAAAATATTTTGGCGTACAATAGGTACGTGACCAATGACCATTCATGCCATAATAATGACATTATTTTCTTATATCATCTTAAACCTCCTTCTAGAGGTGAGTAGGGTATATTCACTACCACTAGCACGTTTATATTCTTCCAAGAATGAATATGTATTCATAAATAAGATGTTGTCACATTCACATCATGAATGAACCATAATCATCTATATGTGCTTTATAAAATCTCATGTCAAATCGATGACAAACATTACTTTCACAGAGTGAAGGATCATTTTGAGAATCCTTATTATTCTAATTACTCAATGATGACGATTATAATTTATTCGTCTATTGCCACGTCCACATCCATTGATACATTCATAGTAGTAATTTTGTCTTCTTTCAGACTTATCACATATTGCTATCACATTCTCTAAAGGGAATGAGAATGGAGCAAATTCAATGGGACGAGTTTTCAATTCTTTGCCCACAATCATACATGAATTTGATCATGGCAAGACACATAAATTTTACCACTTTGGGTGGTTATAATTTCTTTCAAACTCCATTAGAGTTGCAATCAAAATTTATCGTCTTTGCTTGTATTTAAAATCAACGTATAGAATATCAAGAATTTGAAATAGAAAAGTAAAATACTTACCTTAAATCCAGAATTTAATCATGAAGGAAGTTCAAAGAACAATTGACAATCATTATGCTCAATCCCAAAGCTTCTACTCAATTGGTTAGAGTTTCGTGCTGATAACGTGTTATAAACAATAAAAGAAGAAGAATAGTATTGCAGAGAAAAGCAGAGAGAGAATTCTTATTGATATTGAGATGAATTACAATGGAATAAAACCCTCTATTTATAGGGAGAGATTGGCTTAGCCACCAAGTAATAAACCCTAAAATCTCTCTAAATATAAACATTCACTTTAAATAGAATTCTATTTATAACAAAATATATATTTTAAATCGCGGGCTTAAAAGTGATTCTTGCTGCACTTCGCCCATTGCAAACACAGGCCCGAGTCGTTTCTTTAATGGACTCCTCTAAATAATGGCCCAAATTCAATTTTCTTCGGTCCGGTTGACACCACCCATTCATCCGGATCCGAGCTTGCCATTCATTTCTTTCGCCGTTGGAGATCGAGTTGCGCTCCTGTCATCCTCGTCCAAAGCCCTAAACCCCAGTGCTGTGTTTCCCAGTTAAAAACTCAGTAAGCTCAACAAAGAGAGAAAATGAGAATGCACAAACTGAAAGTTTTACTATCACTGACTCAACCATTGCGGAGACATGATTCCCGATTCCTCTCTAATCACCATTGTAGACACTTCTCTGCTCAACCCAGCTACGCCCAAGTGGATTATCTTCAAGAACAGGTTCATTCGCATATTTCTACTAAGCTGTTCAGTGAATTGAAAAAGTACGTCAAAAACCTCATTTACTGTGTTAAAATACTGAAGTGTTATTGTTTCATGTGTTGTTGTCACAGGTTTTGGTTGAAGGAAGGGCTAAATCAAGAGCAGCTATTCTCAATAGACCATCTGCACTTAATGCTATTACTCCTTCTATGGTTTGGCATTTTCCCTTTTCCTTTTCGCTGAATATGGTACATGGTTTTTGTATGTCTGTAGTTGACTATATTTTAAATACTAGGCTGCTCGTTTAAGTAGATTGTACGAGTCTTGGGAGGAAAACTCAGATATTGGATTTGTCATGATGAAGGTAATGTGTCGTACTGCAAGCTTTTTTTTTTCCACCTTCCTGTTCTTTTAATTTTTGTTTTGAAGTATCGGAGTTCAGCAACTTGCACGTACCATCAAATGTTTAAGTTTTTGATTGAATATATTGCAGGGGAATGGCAGAGCATTTTGCTCTGGAGCAGACATCGTCACTCTTTATGAGTTGATTAATGAAGGTGTGTCTGCTTTTGGTTCTGTTTCCTACCCTTTATTGCAATGATCAAGTATTCCCTGCTTAATATTATGCTATGATCAAGTTTATTCCCAGCTTAAATTTCTGTACTCCGGCTTAAAATTCTGCCATGATCAAGTATTCCCATCTTAAATTTCTGATTAAAACAAAGATGTAAACTTGTTTGTAATATAGTTTCAAGGATTTCAAGGTTTTCCAAACATTTTTGGTTTGCTATCGTTATGCTTGATGCTTTTGTGAACATAAGGGTTGCTGCTTCGGAAGTTCTTCATGTGATTATCGACTGTAATTTTGTGTATTCCTCCTCAATGTTATAATAATTTCTCCCTTTCTGTTTTCTCCTTTCTTGGGTGTAAATATCACTCAAAGTTAATGAATTATAATGTAATATAGGCACTCAAAATTGTGGCTTAGCGGTCAATGAAACTGAAATGGCTCATGGAACATCAGGTTTCAAATTCCAACATAGGCAAAATAACACTTTTGATGCCTCTATTGGAATTTGTACCCAAAGGTGTGCCTTAGTGTTGGATTGAGTTATCTGGTACCTGTACTTGAGAGAGGTAGTAGTTATCTAGTAGATTAGTCAATGTGCGTCTAAGCTGGCCCGACACGACCTTTATGAAAAAATATTACTCCCTTGGTACTAGTGGTGTTCGTCGGACGGTATTTAGACATTTCGGTTCGGTATTTTTGGTATTCGGTTTCTTAAAATGCTATACCAATACCGTACCTAATTAAATTCGGTATGGTTCAGTTTTTCTCCTTTCGGTTTCGGTTTATCTGGTTCGGTAACTTCAGTTTATTCGGTTTGAATACTAACTAGTGCATAGAGTCATAGACTGTAATATTCTTAACTAAAGTACTCAAAACTACAAAACTAAAAATGTTTGTCGACAAAAGTTTTGTCCAAAAACGGCAAATATCAACCTAGAGAGAGAGAAAATTGTACATAAAGGAATAAATTTGATCATTAGAAATGTCTTGTTACTTGTTTAGAGTTAATTGATAAACTTAGAGAATAAAGGAAAGTAAAATTTTTGATCTTTTGTAATTATATTATAATTAATAATATGTGTATTGTGTAATATGATATATGTTTCGGTACGGTATCGGTATTTCATTTTAAAATACCAAATACCATACCTAATACTCTCTCTGTTCCAGTTTATGTGAACCTATTTCCTTTTTGGTCCGTTCCAAAAAGAATGAACCCTTTCTAAATTTGGTAACAATTTAGCTTAAAGTTACAACTTTACCCTTAATGAGAAGTTTTTATAACCACACAAATACTCTGGGCCCCATTTGAACTTGTTTAGGACCACAAATTCCAAAAGTCTTCATTTTTTACTTAAACTCCGTGCCCAGTCAAACAGGTTCACATAAATTGGAACGGAGGGAGTACCATTTTATGTGGCACTATTACTATTTGGGGAGTCGAATTGATCTTTTTAACCACAATTTACTTAAATATTTTTTAAATAATTAGAATTATTAGCTGTTAGACATATGGTACTTTATCTAGTTCTAAATATGTAAATTTATAAAAAACTTTTTGAAGTTTATGTCCGACTTCACGCCAAAAAATTGACTAGCTTGGCACTCAGCTCTGAACCCTGCCGCATAAGATGGAACTGGTATTGTGTTAGAGAAATGCTTATCTGTGTAATCAGTAATCAAGGCGATGTGGCATTTGCAAATTGTGAAAATAAGGAGCCCTATAAGGAACAAATTGAATGCCTAAGTGGAACAGTTCTTTCTCACAACCTAGTAAGTGAGAATGGATCATCATTAATCCTTCTGTCCGAAATGTTAATCAATGAATTTGTTTGATTTCCTCGCTACATAAGAGGGAACTGTCTTGTCAAGCTGCCATGTTTGTGAAGCTCTCCTTGTCTACATCAAACGAGTCTAACTCAGAAATATAATCATCACATTTTATCAACTTAGCTTCTTCTTATGGCTGGTGTTATACTTTACAGTTTACATTGCAACTGAAGTCTTAGATGGACTTAGCATTTCCTATAGTTAGAGGATAATAGTAGATCATGTAATAGATGAGTACGCTTGCTCACAACATTCTCTTCTCTGGAGGATAATAGTTAGTTTTGCAATTTATTGCCTACAAACTATTGGCAAACATTTTCATGGTTTCCTTTATCTGCAGGGAAGGTTGAGGAGTGCAGGAAGTTCTTCGAAACATTATATAAATTTGTTTACTTGTTAGGAACATATCTCAAGCCAAATGTGAGTATGCCTCGTTCTTTTTCTCTTTCTGCATATTTCATTGTCAGTGAGGTTGTGCATTGAGTTTTGTCATCAAATTGTTGTATCTCTCTTCTCTTATTGGCATATCTCTGCAGAAAGTTCCCTTGCCTCACCGCTTGTATCAATTTTAGGGATTTAAAATGCCTGTTTTAACTGTCACGTCATTAATCTCTATCTGCACAATTCAATAATTTAACTTGGCATATAATCCATGAAATCAAACTTGGTAAATGGTCTTAGGTAGAAATATGTCAAATCTGCCCAGTGAAATATATTGTTACCATAAGTACTTGGAAGACATCAAAGCTGTATGGGAGGTTTCACTGCATCAAAAAGCCGAATTGGGATTGATGCTTATATAGTCAAAGGGCTAAAACATAATTAAAAAACCCATAAATAACCTTGCTACCATGTACTGGAAAGCTACTGCATCGCGGTAAATTTATTTTCTGCTTTCAGTGCACTCCAGTAACTTAATTTGTGCATCTTGCTGCTGACTTCTTTTCTCAACTCAGCGCATGATCATTAAAAGTTTATAAGATGCTTTAAGTCATAGCTAAGACATGCTTGGAAAGTACCGGGTGTTACATTATAGGCCATTGTATCATCTTACAGTTTGACTTCTGATTTAACTTCGTGACAAACTGTAGCAAACATGTTTAAGTCAACAAGTATTATTGATCATTATGTGCAGGTGGCAATTTTGGATGGTGTCACAATGGGAAGTGGGGCAGGTATTTCGCTTCCAGGAATGTTTCGCGTTGTAACTGATAGAACTGTACGTACCTTCTTCGATGGTGCTGACTCTAACACCTGATTTCCCTGTCTAGCGAAAAAACTTCTATATCCTTGTTGATTTGTGTGGTTCATTGTTCCTACATGCCCAACTTGTATTCTCTTTAATGAATGGGCTACATTTTTTTTGATAACCGTGGTGTCTGGGTCAGCTTGCGCGCACCTAGACTAATTCCACGGGATACCTGCTACCTCTCACCAGCAACAAGTACCAGGTAAATATGTCCATCCTGACTTGAACAAATGGGAAGAAATTCTCTACTAGAATTTGACCCTGAGACCTTATGGTTCTCAACCCAATTCATTGACCACTAGGCCACACCCTTGGGTGCTGAATGGGCTACACTTTATGTTGTGTGAGACATGCAATTCTCAATAAACTTTAGCTGACATGATATTGTGGTATATGTGATAATTGTAATACTCACCATAGGACATTGCTCAAACTTTGAACCATGACATGATTTCTACCTGAAGAAAGCATTTTGTATGATATGCTGGCTTATTAAATTTTCTGACATGATGTTCCCATAATACTGATGATGCCCTAAACTTACAAAGTGAAATGGCAAAATCATTGCAGGTTTATTCTACCCCTGAGGCTCAAATTGGTTTTCATCCTGATGCAGGGGCTTCTTATTATCTATCTCGTCTTCCTGGCTACTTAGGCAAGTTTGAACAAAATATTACTGATAAGTAGATTTGTGTGTGGGGCTGCACTGGTTGATACACGGACCAGAAAAAGTGCCACATTGTTCTGTTATTATCTTATTGTTTTCCTACTTTGATGTCATTTCTTTCAAATCTTTTTGTGCCTGCTGAACTGATGATGCGTCTCTCTGATGATGAGGTGCATTGATATCTGCATTGACCATTGAAGTCATCCATAAATATGGATTTCCCGGGGGGGCTCAAATCATCATTTTTTGAGGGGTTAATACTTAATACTGGCCCAGACTCCCAGTTGCCCCTTTGATTTTTATTTTTATTTTTTTGGGAATCATGCGCATTTACTGTCTTTGGTATTCCTCTTTTTGCAATTTTCCCTTTTTTTATGTTGATGTGTTAGATCACTTTTCGCATACCACTAAATGACAGTGATTTCTCTGATGAATTCTCTTTATTCCTTTTGTTAGTTTAGTACTGCTGAAAACATGCTGATTGTTAAAGCAATTTACATATCAATGTATTTGACTACTTTGACTGTTATAGAAACTTTGATGCTAGAGTTTAATAGCGGCATCTCTTTGCAGGGGAGTATTTGGCTTTAACAGGAGAAAAGCTTAATGGTGTAGAAATGATTGCTTGTGGTCTTGCTACCCACTATTCACTCAAAGAAGTTAGTAATAAGTTAATCTTTAACTATATTCTCAACTCCTATTCTTCCTTTTTAGTAGCTTTGATGTTTGCTGTTTCAACAGAGGCTTCCTTGGATGGAAGAACGTCTCGGTAAATTGATCACAGATGATCGTCTTGTCATTGAAAATTCTCTAGCCCAGTATGGTGACCTTGTTTACCCAGATAGCAAGAGTGTTCTGCACAAGTAATGTTTTATCTTTGTTAACCTTCTTCCATCATTTTATTTTCTACGACATGCTCATTGTGAATGCTGCGGGGCCTGCTCAAGTCTATGGAGTTGGAGGGGACGAGAGTAGATTACTGTAGGATTCAGTTAAATGATTCTTTTAAGAAGTTTTAAGCTATGTTGCTCGGACTCTCCAAAAGTGCTGCTGCACCCGTGTCGGATCCTCCAAAAATGCACTAAATTTGGAGGATCCAACACGCACCCAACAACATTTTTGAAGAGTCCGAGTAACATAGCCTAATAGTATAGGTGCTTTGTTTGATTTTGCTAGAGGTGATTAAGGTTGTTTAATTCTAGTTATTGCTAGTTTCTTATCAAACTTTGCGTCTATCTTCTATCCCTTTANATTTCAGAGAACGCAAGCCGCCCCAAAAAAAAAAGAGGGAAAGAAAAGTTAGTGGCAGAAAAATGACACGAAGATTAAATGAGATGGAATTGGAGGGAGAGGAGAATATGGGTAACAATGTGGTGAACTTATGTGATCTAGTAAGCATTGGCCATAGCATCAATATTCTATTAATGAGTGTTCTAGCTATAACAATAAATACGAGTTAATATATGTGCTATATCCAGTACAAACTCAAACTGAAAACATGGAATTTTTAAAAGTTAGGCGACTATGATACAAAATAAACACTATTCCTTGTCCAACATTCATACATACCTCTAAAGAATCTCCACTTTCTCGTCATAATCCCCTTCCACAAACTTTACTCCAGAAATATTGGCCCCTTAACCAGAAAGCCATCCATTATCTACTATCCCGTATTTAACAGATATTATCTCTCCATGAAGTGTTTGGTCCATTTCCCAAGAAATGCTGCACTGGAATGGATATCTCCTGATACCCAACCTCCCTCTAATCCTGAGACTGTTTTCCACTAAATGGTGTCCCCGATCCATCTGATTCTTGTATACTCTCATATTCCAACAGCTCCATAAACTGAAGTACCATTTTGGGGTTTGAGAAGTTACCCACTATACTCCAGCTAAGTTCAAAAACAGACACCAGATTTGTCATGTCTTTTTGCTGTGTAAGAACGGGTGTCCCATGGTGTCATTTGATTCAAACAAAAAAGCATCTACTCCAGATCTTGATGCCTCTTTTCTGCAGGTTTTCATGAATTAAACAGTTCTATATGTGATTTAGCCATCAGAAAAAAGCTATACTGTTTGTGTTTGGGGGGGGGGTGTCTTTGGTCTTCCATATCATCTTCCAAGTCCACAGGTGCCTTTCTGAACCACTAGTCGAAAAAGTTCTCTTTAACCCTTTTTGGTCTTCGGTGAAATTTTGGATGAATCTTTACATCCATTAAAGATGCCAATGTTGTCTTTTCTTTTGCTTGCAAGAAAATTCGTTTTTTTTCTATCACATTTCATTTTTGTCTGCCCTCTTTCTCTTTTCCTTTTTCTTAACCCCTTTTTGTGATCCAGGTTTGAGAAAATCGATAAGTGCTTTAGCCAGGATACAATTGAGGAAATTATAGAAGTTCTGGTAAGTGCTCTCTCTCTCTCACACACACACACACACACTCTCTCTCTCTCTCTCTCTCTCTCTCTCTCTCTCTCTCTCTCTCTTTCTTATTGTCCTATCTTTCTCTATGTACAAATGCAGACACATAACTTGTACTGATATATAATATCAAGAATTATGTTTTTCAGCATTCTGGTAAAGCTAATATGTACAAAGGTTTGGGTTTGTGGCATAACAAGGTCTACTATAAATTCCCAGAGAAAAGTTAAATCTCTGAATTATCAGAATGTTGTGTCAAGCGTTTAAGTGTTGAACCCTGAGAAGCACGTATTGAAACACTAGAAACCAAATTGGATAGCACCATTTCCTATCAGTATTATTCAAGTCCATTTGAAAGGGTAGTCCCAAAGATGCTATTTTTGTTATTTAAGTTATATTCATCCTGGTACTACTTTGCATCTTCTTGATGCCACCTGTATAATACCTTACTTCATAAAACCAAGTTATATTCATCCTGTTCCAGAAGATTTGCCATCTATGTTATGGAAGGTCCCAAATAGTGGGTATTTTGAAGATTTTATCAACCGAAGTTTTCCATCTTAATCTTGCTCTTTAGTTGTACCATTATTCAACAACAGTTAACAGTCTGGAGCAGCTTATCAAATTTAGTGCTTGCATATATTAAATTGAGAAATACTAGAGCTGCCTATGAATTATGACCTAGAAATCTCAGTCAGCCATACATAGGTTATTGCTATACGTACCAAATGCTTTGACAAGTATTTAGCTGAGATCATGTCCAATAAGAAGATTGAAGCTGAAATATATTGAAAAACTAGAAAAAATTAGTCCAAAAACTTCATAAAGAAAAGGTCCAAAAAGGGTTAAAAATTGTCTCTTCCAACAAAGTATTGAACAATAGGTGATTTTGGTAGACTATATTGACTAGCCAATGCTGTAAAGATAATTGTGAAGCAATTCTGGCTATGGATCGGCCTTATTTAGTTTCTACGTCTTTTTTTCCCTCTCTTTTTCTTGCTTCTTTTTGTATGCCTTAAAGCATGGTAATAGAAGTTAGGACATTATTTTAAGACCTTTCCTCCTGGATATTGATCTTCGGATTTGTTCAGCTGGCGCTTTTGATTGGTTTAATGTGTTACCTTAAAAGGGTATGTGTATTCTGATCTCAGTATGAGAAATCTGGTTTAGCTGTTGTTAAAGTTCTGGTTGATTTCTGTTGCTAGGGGTTGTGGAGGATGGTTTTGCTAGACATGCTTTATGGACTTTACTATTCTTATAACATTTGCTTATTTCTCCTTTTTAATTGCACTAAGTTCCTTCACTTGGTTTACTCTGTCGTGAAACGCAGGAAAGAGAGGCAGCAGAATCTCATGATGAATGGTGTAATGCAGCTCTTAATAAAATAAAAGAAGCCTCTCCATTGAGTTTGAAAGTGGCTTTGAAATCAGTAAGCTGCTAACCATTTCCTTTGCTTTTGCATTCCAGATTTTTCATGGTTTAAACTTCATTTTTGCTGCCAAAATGTAGATTAGAGAAGGCAGATTTCAACCCCTTGATCAGTGTCTAGTTCGTGAATATCGCATATCCGTTAATTGGGTGTCCAAACGGATGTCCGGTGATTTCTGTGAGGTATGTCTTCCTCTTAACACTTGACTGTACAAGTTTGTGTGCACCATATTCGTTATAGAATGTGGAGGGAGAGGGAAGGAGGAAAAAATTCTGAGTGCTGGAAGTAAATCATTGTACCTTAAATGTGAGGTTATATACACACACACAAAAAACAGTGGTGTCCGGCCAGCTTACGCGTGCTTTGACTATTTCAATGTATACTTGCTACCTCCCACCAACAACTACCAGGTAACTCTGTCACCAAGGCTTAGGCAGATGGGAAGAAATCACTTAGCATTTTTTGCATTGTACCTCCTATCTTTTGCCAAAGTAAAAACTGGAATAAAAAGGGTAATCTAGTGATTTGCAATCTTAAGAATAAACATATTGGCAATAACTGGATTAGAACCGAAGATGATTCACATCTTATTCCGCTTAAAATCATTCATAAATTCCGTAATCATGAAAGATCACCCATGCAGATTATGCAGAGTTTTTATCGGAAACCATCTTTTGTATTAGCAATACAGGGTTGCATTAAGTAATGTAGGTTTCATGGTGGAATCTAAACGTTCTATTAATTAGTATTGCAGAGTTTTTTATGTCAGTATTATATTTTCTTATAACTCAAACAAATGGAAGGGGAGCCTCAGAGCAATGGTAAAATTGTATCTGTGTGACCTATAGGTCATGGGTTCGAGCCGTGGAATCAGCCACATGTGCTTGCATCAAGGTAGACTTCCTACATTACTCCCCTTTGGGGTGCAGGCCTTTCCCGCGCCCGACATGAACGCGGGATGCTTTGTGCACTGGGCTGCCCTTTTTTGTAACTCAAACCAATGAGCTCTTGAAAACTAAATTTCATATACCAGCAAATGTAGCATTTTTTCCATTGAGATTTTTTATGTTAAGGTAGGATATTTATCCTCAAAAAAATTTTCAGGGTGTTCGTGCTCGATTGGTTGACAAGGACTTTGCTCCAAAGGTAATGAACAGTCTTCCATGAATGCTTAATTTCCCACCCTCTCCCCTCTCTCTTATTTTAGCTAAGAGAAGAAAAGGAAACTTATTCGTTCTTGTACTGAACATTCAGTGGGGTCCAACGCGGCTGGAAGAAGTTACCACCGACATGGTTGACTGCTTCTTCACCCCATTAGGTGAATTAGAACCCGAACTGAATTTGGCCACTGCACTACGAGAGCCTTCTATGTGATTGATATCCTGCTTTGCTCTACCTATGGGAAGTTTTATGTTCCCGGGTTCATTATAATACGAGGGACTGACTGGAAAATCAGGACTGCTAAAGACATTCCTATCAATATGTTGGATATATTTCGGTTCCCTTGGAGCATAGGTAAAATGCTTAACTGCTAATGTCTCAGGTACTAGATGGTGGGTAAACAAGAAAATGATAGGGCTGGCTACGCATTGATTTTATCACCTTTGACTTTTTCAAATATATTTCTGATGTTTCGAGACCTCTCAGGAGTTGATGTTTCGAGGCTCTCAGATTTGACCGTTTAGGTGTGTACATCATGAGAAGAATGTTTTGTGAAATAAATTACCATGGTACCTTCAGATTTTTTTGCACATCCTGTTTGGCCCATGGATAAGTGTAAACGATAATTTTGCGCGAGTAATACTACTAGCAAGAGTTATAGTTGAACCCTGAGTCACCTTGTGTTGTTGCAATCTGACTTGCTGAACTTCTTTAGATATATGCACATTAAGTACAGGATCACAGAAATTTTTGTAATGAAACTGAAAGGAGCTTGTGCTTTACTTGCTCAAAGGAATTTCGATTAATATTGTAGTCTTGGCTAAATAACATATTATTTTAATGAATTACCATTCAAGACATGCCTTCAAGAGTTAATATAACAAAAACTATGGTTCCTTCAATTGCCTTATTGCTTCTGAATTCCTGATTTTAATTGGTGAGAAATGATCCTGATAAAAAATAGAAAACATAACGGGAACAAGTTATTTTCGAAAGAAAAAACTGCAGCACTTTGACTATATTTCAAATAATCTTGGATGATAATGTAGTATGTCAAATATTTAATGAACATGTAGCCTATTTTCTATATGTTAGTAGTGGTGCTAGTGTTATTCTTTATGTTGTTATTACATGGTGTGTAATCTTTTATTGTTTGAGTAAGAGTTAGCTCGTCTGTCGAGCCGAGGTTTTTTTTGGAAACAGCCTCCCTACCTGAGGCTACCTCTGGAGTAGGGGTAAGTTATGCATACACTATATCCTCCCTAGACTCCACTAGTGGGATTCTACTGAGTTATTGTTGTTGTTGTAGTAAGAGTTAGATACAAATATCAGCTTTCGGGTGCGGCCCTTTCTAGGATCCTGTATCTGCATGAACGCGAAATATTATGTGCACCGTTTTTTTTTTTTTTACACTGTTTGGTGGAAAAGCAACGGAAGTGGAGACAACTTCCCTCTATAGCCCCTCAAAATTTTAATAGCCCATGTTTTTTTCACTTACAAGAAATGGCCTTCGGCCCAAACTTATTGCATCCAATAGCTCGAAATATCTACTTTATATATTTTTTGTATAGTGACGGTCTGTTTTGTATATTTTTCTGTATATTGATAATCTATTTTGTATATTCTTTGTATAGTGACACTCTATTTTATATATTTTTTGTATAATGACAGTTTAGTGTATATAAATTATATAGTGACAATCTATTTTGTATATATTTTGTATAGTGAAAATCTATTGTATATAAATTGTATAGTTATAATCTATGTTGTATATTTTTTGTATAATGACAGTTTAGTGTATATAAATTATATAGTGACAATCTATTTTGTATATATTTTGTATAGTGAAAATCTATTGTATATAAATTGTATAGTTATAATCTATGTTGTATATTTTTTGTATAATGACAGTCTATTTTGTATATATTTTATATAATCATAGTCTATTTTTTGTATAGTGATAGTTTTGTTTAGTATGTATTTTGTTTCCAATTATCACTTTCAGAAACATGTTTCAATACATAAAATATGTTTGATTCATCTTCCAATGAAGAGAAAATCAAAAATTATCATAGCCTCATTGTACATAAAATGAAACAGAGAGAGTAACAATAAATTGAGGCTCAGATTTGTGTTTAACCTCAGGCAAAAAAAGAGAATCCAACGACGCCATGGCTGCAAAAACCCACTGGGAGCATGCCCCGCGCAAGATATGGGTCGGGTTATCTCAAAATTCCCCGATTGATTAATAAGCTCAGAAGGGAATGACAAAATTATCATCGCCTTTTTTAGCCGCCGATTATACTCACCGACACCGCTTCCACCGGCAAACATAGATTGCTCCGGCGAAAGCATTAAAGAAAGAAAAAGAAAAAAAAGTGGAAGGGTTGTTACTAATGCTATTCTTATACACTCTACCAAACGACCCCTTAATAAAATTGATAAAAAGGGCTGTTGTTTGGGTTTCTACAGTATATGGAGAAATCAATGGCTAATTACAGAGAGAGAGGCAACCGATCGAGATGATAGAAGAGAACGGGGAAATGATAGGGATCAGGATAGCAGATTGAGCCTCTTAGTTAATTACTTTTGAGCTAGCCCCTAGAATTACTTTTGGGCTATAAAATGTATATTGCAATTTTTGGACTACCGGGTGATATATATTTGGGCCGATGGGCTATAAATGATCTTTTCTCGGGAAAGTGTATATGCAATGATATGACAGTCTGAAAAAAGAGAGAATATTTTCGAGCAAAGATCAATTTTAGCCCGAAACTATTTATAATCGGTGCCGTAAAAGTGTATAATTTTTATTTTTATTTTTTGTGTACAACATACAGAAAAATAAATATATATATATATATAAAAGTTATACATGCGACTATTTTTTTGAGGTGAAAAGATTAGCTACTGTAAAATTAGCTCCATTAATTCTCAATGGAGCAGTGGATGTATGCCACGTGTGAAATAGAAGTACTAATGGCCTAGATCAATTTCTATGATACTCATTCCATTTTTTTTTAATTTCACCATTAAATTATATTTTAAAGCCCATGGTTCTTGCATAAAAATACTTCTCAATTTTGCTTTAGTTGTCCTATACATTCAAAATTGTTTATAAACAAGAAGTAGTGGAATTTATCCACTTTTCGGAAGGAAAAAAGAGAGGAAAAGAACAAGAATTTGTCCTCTTTTATTAATATATACTTCTTATAATCACAACTAAAAATCAATGGAGTACGAAAACAAATAAAAAACAAGTGCAGTAAAATTGAAGAAGTATGCCTTTTTGTTAAATAAATACAAAAGTAAATACGTATATTTTTCTTCTGTGAACACTGACAATGATTTTTAAAATCTAGGTGTCCTTTTTTTTTATTTAAAAATTTGTTAAAATACTTATTTAGTATATAAAATAGGTAAAGTAAAACTGAAAGAGTATTCTATATAAATATCTTGTGTTATTAAATTCTCCTATTAGTTAAAGTTGAAATAAAAAAAATAAATAAGAGACTTGAAGAGTATCATAAAAATTCATCCTGGCCATTAATATTTTACTTGCAAACGTGGCTTATATCCACGGCTCCATTGAAAATTATTGGAGCTAATTTCACTGGAGTTAATCCTAATCCTTTCCATTGATTTAGTATGAATTTGGAATGGATATGCAGAATCTCCAAAGTTTTGACCAAATGAATGTTCCAACTTACTACAAAATGAACTAATCCAAACCAAGCAAGAATTTTACTGCAGTCAAATCTTTATATAACAGTTTTATTTTTTCCGGATACTTTTGATTGTTATAGCGAAATGTTGCTATAAAGAACATATATTATAATATGTAAATTGATTCCAATAAAAACTTGACTTTTATAGTAAAGTGTTGTTTTATATGAATATTGTTATAGACAAGTCTGACTATATTCGCTAGACGCAAATCAAATCGAATTATTTTTATCTGAAACTTAGAAATTAGAGATTCACTTATCACTTCTTAGACATGAAACCTAAGAATTCGGAAGGTGTATTAGAGAAGTAAATCCTCAAAATTATTTACTGCTAATGAGATAGTATTGACGTAAAATTATTGCTTTCGGAAATAAATTTGTGCCACATAAAATTGATCCAAAAGTGTTTCAGTTATAAAATTTAGAGATTACATTAAAATATTACGTGGCAATAACATCTCCTGGGGCCTCGAAAATCAATGCATGTTAAGCAAATTTGCAGAATTGAAGTACTCCTCTGGTTTAATATTTTGGCAGAACTATTAAGAAAAATATTTAATAAAATTAATTGTAATAAAGTTGACTAAATTATCTTTATCTCTTACTTAAATGAGAAAATAATGACCATATATCTTTTGGAGTCTTACAATTAATAGGAGTTTCATTTCTTAAAATAATAATTATTCTAGAACAAATTTACTTGCTTGGAGCGACAAATAATTGACTTTTTCACAAATAGCCGGTCAACTTCACGGTTTACTTTTTATAGGCGGTATGAATAATCTATAAATTCATTATACACAATTATACACATAGTATACATAATTCATGAATTATACATATATTATATATTCACCGGCTATTTCTAATTTAAACATTTAGTGAGCGACTATTAAAATTAATTCTTCACAAATTTTAAAAAAGAGCGGATGAAGTATAAAAATATATATATACAGTCATACCTCTGTATAATAATATCCTTATATAACAACACTTCACTATAAAAACTAAATTTTTTCGGAACCAATTTTATGTTTTGTTATAATATATATATTTTTATAACAACAATTAGCTAAAACATCCAAAAATATGTGAAGAAATATAATCCAGTGAGAGTCAAATCTATATATATATATATATATATTAAAGCAAGAAAGTTACTATATATAATTGACATTATGGTTGCCAAGTGGCAAGCTAATAATGTCAATAGTATATGGTAACTTTATTCTATATTTGACTATTTTAGTTAAATATAAATATGATATAATATATATATATATATATATATATATATATATATATATAATTAAAGATAATTTTGAATTTATAGATAAAGTTCTAAAATTCAAATTTAAATTAAAAATAAAATTTATCTTTTTTTATCATGTTATCATAATTAATTCTGTTAATGATCATATGCAATCATATTAGGAACTTTTGTTATTTTTTTTATATTTATTTAAATACTACTTCGCCTCTAGCAAAAAACAAAACTCGACATATAACTCTTTCACATAAATCCTATAAGTATAGTTCTTTGAAACATTTTAGCTAGATTTGAATAAAATGAAATTCTTTTAAAATAAATGTAATATATAGGGTACACGTCTATGTTTATCTAAATAACAAAAAAGAGTTTACAAAACCAAATAAAAGTTTACTTACATATATAATAAAGTAAACATACATGCTAGAGAAGAAACATCACAAAATCAGTCAATATTAAAAAAGAAAGTTATTTTTCTTCTTGAAGAATATTTGTTTAAAGAGTCAATTTGCATAAATGGACATCAAACAAATAACAAAACTATGGATATACAATTGCTATCATTAATTTCAATTTAGCACATTCAAGGAATTGAAGGGTATAAGCTGAAACCCCTTCATTTAGCTGTAGTCAAGCCAATATTTGCAAGGGTATAATATTTTTTTCGTTGAAGA